CAAATTGGCTGCACCAATCTGCAGTCCCACCAGCAATGTACAAGTGTACCACATTTTCTTTATCCATTCATCTATTGAAGGGCACCTAGGTTGGTTCCATAGTTTAGCTATTATGAATTTAGCTTCTATAAACATAGATGTGGCTGCATCAGAACCTCACTTTTAAGACCCCCCAACTTGCTAGCATATGGGCAAGACTGAAAACCGATAAAATATAGCTGTATGTTTTTAATGTGAAGTGTTACGGTGGAACCTGGTGTCTCTCCTAATGATCCTAGCAAAAGCCTTCTGATTTTCTTAGACTCTGGTGTAGGAAAAAACAAATTTGCTCAAATAAGGAGAATACACAGACACATGCACACACATAGGCAGAGTGTGTCTATGGAAACGCACAGAAGAAGCTGGAGGTCAGGGTGGTGTGGCTCAGGAAAGGAATGGGAGGGAGAGTTTTTTTCACTATTGGCTCCTTGTTTGTTTGGCAGGGTAGGACACTGGGATCAGCTGGGTAGTGAATGACTTCCATGTTCTTGCAATGAGTAAATAAGGGCCTGAGAAAAGAAGGGGCTGAAGTGGTATAGTGCAAGATGCAGTGGAGATGTTCAACCTGTACACAACTGTCATAGTTAGAGAGGTGAGAAATAAAGTGGGGTGTTGGGATGGGGGAGTGACTCCCAGTTTCCCCAGCTCTACTTTCTAAATTTCCCCACTTACTAAGTGAACAACATTGGGGTAAAGTACTTGGACATCTCTGAGCTTAGCTTTCTTCTTCAGCAAAATGGGTCAGCCATCCTCTCAGGGTGGTTGTGAGGATTAAAAGGCATAATGAGTTCAAAGGTTTAGAAGAGCAGCTGGCACACGGTAAACACGCAGTCACCAAACTAGTGCTATTATTATAAATGATGACCTCGTTCCACTTTCTCTTTGTTTTTTTTTTTTTTTTCTTTCTTTCTTTCCCCCACACTTGTAACTCAGCAGGCCTGGAGAATTTAGTATATAAAGGAGTGATGCCTTCACCAAAGGGCGTGTCCATGTTTCATTCAATCTTTAAACAAATATGTTTTGAAGCACTGCCTTTGTTGCCTGGGATCCATTGGTAAAGCCCGTCATATCCCTGCCCTCACAGAGTCTAGTTTTCTTTTTTTTCCAGAAACTTCCTGGCCCTTCTCACATGCTACAGGTCTATGTCCGTGTATGCCTTTATAACCATGATTTTATAGTCAGAGTATTTTCAGGAAATAGCTTTATATTAAACAGTTGTTTAATGTACATGTGAGCACATCATTTAAAATTACTGAGTGTGAAAGGTTACAAACGTAAAAGCAGGTGTCCTTCTTACTTGGAATTTCCTAGTTGTCCTCAGAAACAACCTTTCTTACTTGTTTTTTAATGTTCCACCACTGAGATAAATATGTAGGAGTCCGTAAGCTCCCCTTCTGCAACGGCTAGGGGGAAGAGAGGAGAAGGAGTCGAAGACGTCCAGCCACAAAGATGCTGGGGAAAGGAAGTGCATAAGAGGACCCAGAGGGACATCAGGCTACAAGGCTTGGGTATTATAGAAGATGCAGGCTTAAATAATTGCACCAAAACTCTTTATTGATAACTACTTTATACAAAACATACTAGAAACCAACCAGCTAGGGGCAGGCAGGGGCAGGATGCACGGATGGTAATATCCCAAGGATCAGCCTGACTCTGGTAGCAGTCCACAACCCTCCACAGCCTTTTATGGAAAATATAAAGAACAATTTTGTAAGACTTGGGCCTCCTAAAGATCTCTTTGGGTTTGGACTGAGGCTGGTCCGTCGTTTGCTATGCCACTGTTACAGCCAGGCTTTCCTGCTCATTTCTACTGGGTTCTCTCTTGCTTGTATCCAGTTTTCCAGTCATTGCTTCCAACACAAATGGTCCTCAGTTGGCTGGCCCTGCTGTGGGCCGTTCATATCCCCCAGGACGTCCACCGGCTAAGGATTGCAGCCTGGCCTTCCTACTTCCACTCCAGCTCCTCTCTCTTGACCATGGGTTGGAAGAGTCCTGGCCTTGTCCACTCATGTCATCCAGGTGAGCGCTCTCCTCCCCAGCTCTGCTTCCAATCAGATGAAACTTCACAATAACTCGGCTATCATCAAAATCCCTCACTGACCACCAGGGAAACTTCTGTTTGTCTAAGTCCATTTGGACAGACTGTCCATCTGTGGCTTCTTTGAGACTTCTCAAAGGACCCAATAGACCATTTATTTCATTTATATCTTGTTGGTTGAAATCTTTTGTTGTTTTCTCAGGAGCATGGTGGTCTCTCTTGCATCTGAGTCGTTTTTTTATTCCAGAGAAAATAGGGCTCACAAGACACAGCATTTCCCTGCTTTCTCAATGCTCTCTGCCAACACTTGTTTAATTGCTTATTGGGCAGGTGAATCCTCCCAATAACAGCAGCAACCCAGACAGAAACGGCTCCAGGATCCAGTTTCTCTCTGTCTTTCCTGATTTCCCAAAATGGAGGCGTTCCCCTCACTGTGGCCTGTACTCTAACTAGGTCCTTGTATTCTCTACCGTCCTGAAGGGGGAAAGCATTCCTTACAAGTGGTGGGTTTTTCTTCAGAACATACTAATTACATTATCACAGTATATGTTTCTTTATATTTTAAAATATTAACATGAACACGAGAAAGTTGTAAAATACATAACTCCTACTCCGGTGGAAGAGGTAGTTGTTCAGTTCCAAGTTCAGAGAATGAAATGAGGCACCACCTTAGAGTGTGGAGGCAGATAAAAGTAACTGTTCTCAGAACTAGGAGTTCCCTATAAAAACAAATTCGGTAAAACTAAGAAAGGAATCTGATCTGAAGTCGGAGGCATTGGTCCTAAACATTATTCCCAGGCAAGGAGTCATTCAGGTGGGCTCAGCCCATGAGTGCGCTCTGAAATTAAAAGAAGCAGATAGAAAATTTATATCTGCTTCCTGGCACAGGGAACAGAGCTGATATTTTAGGGAGGTTATTTCACTCAGAAGGAGTCTTGGAGCCCCCATTAGTACTAAGGGTAATGTTCTCTCATCTCCAGCACGAAATCAAAAAAGGCTGCCCCAAAACTTACAGAGGAAAGGGACATGAATACTTATATGGAATTTGTGCTTTAATTAAAAGTGTGTAGCATTATGGTTGCCTGAAGGTGTCTTTGAATAGTGAACAATACACTGAACTTCTTCATCATTTTGTTCAGGTTCATGGATTTCCACTCTGGAAAAATAGGGAAAAAAAAGGATTGGGTGAGATTTCATGTAATACCACTTTATTTTTCTAGATTTCAGTGATAAGGCAGACAAAGGGGACCATCGTAATAACAATGAATAGAAACAAATTATTGAAGAGAGAGATAGAGAAGGTGGGAGAAAAGAACCCTGGTCTACATCGTCATCATTGCCTCCTTCAACAATTACCTTGGATTTTTTTTTCTTTTTTGGGTGGGGGGTACCAGGGATTGAACTCAGGGGCACTCAACCACTGAGCCACATCCCCAGTCCTATTTTGTATTTTATTTAGAGACAGGGTCTCACTGAGTTGCTTAACACCTCGCCCTTGCTGAGGCTGGCTTTGAACTAGTGATCCTCCTGCCTCAGCCCCTGAGCCACTGGGATCACAGGTGTGTGCCATTGTGTCCGGCTGAGCTTGCATTTCTATCTGGCCTTGTCCCTGCCCTGTGCTGATTCTCTGCTGTCTTCTCATTATAGGCTCTTCTAGACCATCTCTGAACTGCGTCTGACAAGACAGGCAGGACCTTGTACCCTGGCTCCCCAATTAGTCTTGCTGCTGGAATCACTGGATTAGTGCAGAGCACTCTGGTGGCTTCAGTGCCCTGGGGGGTCATAACCTTGTCTCTGTGGCCAGATTTTTGTTTGAGGGTTGCTTGACCCTATGACCAGGCAGTCAGAGTCTTGCTATTCTGGAGAGCCCAATTCCTCAAAAGGGATGGGAGTCCAGACAATCTGGTTATATTATGTTGTGAAAGGATTTATAATCAGGAACTTTCATGCATTCTTTCATTCATTTAACAAATACTGATTGGGCACCTACCATATGCCAGGCACTGTGCTAGGTGCTGGTGGTGCAATGATGGTCTTATCTGATAGGTCTCTGCCCTCCGTAGAGTTTAATTTAGTTTTCTTCATAGAGTTTAATAAGATAATTTCACAAATAGGTTAGTATAATCTGCCATTTTGAAGAAAAAGTCCAGGGATCCACAAGACACTCTAACAGGTGGATATGATCTAGTTTGGGGAAGGGTTTTAAGAAAGTGCTGCTTGAGCAAAATCTGAAGAATGAGGTGAAGCAGTGGCAGAAGAACCTTCCAAGTAGAGGGCACAGCAGATGCAAAGGCACCGAGGCTGAAGAGAACGTATTATTATTATTCCTCAGTTCTTCTTTTAATCATCCCACATATGCATGGCATTCACTAGCTCAGGCACTGTGCTAGGAGCTGAGTTTCCATGGTGAATAAGATGCAGCCCATGCTCACCTCATCAGAACCCTGGGTATTCATTTTTACTTGACCATGACTTGACTAACCAGTCTCACTTTCCCCTCCCTCCCCATGAGCTCCTGTTTGCTGAGGTCTCAGCAGGCTCAGGTTCCAGACTATTCAAACCATAGACCCTCGGGGATCAGACCTCATTTAGCAATTGCTGCAGGGTCAGGACTCACCTTTCTTTGGTCTCTTCACCCTCCATTTTGATGGTTTCTGAAAGAGACCAAAAACAACCTTAGAAATTGTATTCCTCATACATATGAAAACAGGAAAAACTTGAAGGGATTTTAAAGTCCTAGGACTCAGACATTGTGATGGCCTCATACATGAAAGAGATGGTTACTGAAATGAGGCCATTTCACAGGGACAGGCAAGGAGCTCCTTGCATCCAAAAAGTAAAAGCCTTCTCCTGATCACTGTGTCTTAAGTGCTAATGTTGGACATAGATTTTTTTTTTTCCAATTAAAGCTCTATCCTTCCTGAAATAAAAATACCACTGGGACAGGTAATACCTTTTGTTTTAGCAATCATTTTGTGGTAAAAAAAAAAAAAAAAAAAAAGAGTTTCCAATCCTTTTTTTTTTTTTTTTGCAAGCAAATTTAGAAGGTGAAGGAAAGGGACTTTTGAAGATGTTGATGCTTAAACGGATGTTGATGCCCAGTGATGCCACCAAATAGATAGTACCCACTGTTGCATGCACAGGCCTAATAGAATTCTCTAGCCAGTCAGAACTCCCAAGCCATAATTATTATTCGTATAGATTTAGCTGCAGATGCAGTTTGGGATGTATTTCCTCTAGGTTTCCCTAATTGGTGTGTCCATACTGTTGTCCCACTCAGAATCGCACAGTCTTAAGTGTTGTTCACTTTGGCACCCTTGGAGGAATTTAGGGACCACGGAAATCCTCTCAACAATAGCCTTGTTTGTCTTGTGACTCAATTTTTACTACAAATAGAGTCATTTGAACACTTCCTCTCATTGACAGTTTCACATTAATGAACGGTAAAATTCAACCATTTTCAGCATTAAGTTTGGTGAGTTTTTTAAGTATGCAGTTATGTAACCAATCAAAATCATGAAAAAAAATATTTGTATGAGTCTCCTCCTGCCTTCTTTCAATCAATATCTTTTCTCCTAGTAACCACTGATCTGCTTAATGTCACATTAGTTCTGCTTTTTCTTGAATCTTGAGAAAAAGGATATAAATATAAATGGGATTGTATAATGTACAGTATTGTGCCTGGTTTCTTTACTTAGAAGAATACTTTAGAAATTCATCTGTGTTGTTGCATATTACCAGGAGCCCATTCTTTCTATAGCTTAAAATTTTTTCATTGTATGAATATGTTCTTTTGTTAAATGATGGACTATCTCCTATTAATCATTAGTAATATATAATTATTTATTCTAGATATACATTCTTTATCAGATATGTATTTTGCAAACATTTATGTTTCCTCCCTGCCTGTGCTTGACTTTCTGATTTCTTTTTTTAAAAGATTGGGTATTTCTTTTTTTTTTTTTTAACTTTTGTTTTATTTATTTATTTTATGTGGTGCTGAGAATTGAACCCAGCACCTCGCACGTGCTAGGTGAATGCTCTACCGCTGAGCCACAACCCCAGCCCCTTCACTTTCTGATTTCTTAACACAGTCAAAGACCAAATGTGGGCTGGGGTTGTGGCTCAGTTGTAGAGCACTCGCCTAGCATGTGCAAGGCACTGGGTTCCATCCTCAACACCACAAAAAGTGAATATATAAAATAAAGGTATTTTAAAAAGTTGTATCTGTTAAAACAAAAAAAGACCAAATGTTTTTTATTTTGATGAAGTCCAATTTATCAATTTTATTTTTTTATGACTTGATTTGTGTTTACTGGGAACTATCTCAGAAGATTTGCCTAATCAAAGGCCACAAAGATTTTCTCCTATGTTTACTTTCAGAAGTTTTTTAATGTTAGCTCTCACATTTGCATTTATGATCCACATTCAGTCATTTTTTTGTATGTTCAGATTTCCCCATGTGGCTCTCTAATTCTCCCAACACTATCACTTCATGGGGTTATTTTGGCACCTGTATCAAATTGGTTAACCATGTGAGTTTATTTTTTTACTGTTTTGTTCCATTGATTGAGGTGTCTAGTTTTAAACAATATTACATTGTTTCAATTAATATAACTCTACAGTAGATCTTGAAATTAGGTGACATAAGTCTTTAATCTTTGTTCTTATTTTTCAGAATTCTTTTGGCCATGTAGCTTCTTTTCATTTCCACATACCTTAGAACTGGCTTTTTGATTTCTACTAAAAATTCTTTCGGGATTTTGATTGAGATTGCTTTGAATCCATTAATCAATTTGGGGACACTTGATACCTTAACAATATTTTGTCTACTGAACCATAAATGTGGCTTCTATCTTCATTTATTTAGGTTGGCTTTCATTTTCATCAATAATACTGCTTTGTGGCTTTCAGTATACAGGTCTTATACTTGTTTCATTAAATTTATTTGTTTCAGCATACGGGTTTTGTGTTTTCTTTGTTAAATTTATTCCCAAACTTTAATATTATCTGGTGCTACTGTAAATTATATTTAAACATTATTTCAGTGTTTGATTGTTCACTGTTACTATACAGAAATACAATGGATCTTGATTTTGTATCTTGACCTTTATTTACCCTGTGACTGTGCTACACTCACTTATTAGCTCTTATAGCTTTTAAATAGATTATAGGTGCTGGGTGAGGTGGTGTATGCCTGTAATCCCAGCGGCTCGGGAGGCTGAGGCAGGAGAATCTCAAGTTCAAAGCGAGGCGCTAAGCAACCGAGACTCTGTCTCTAAATAAAATATAAAATAGGGCTGGGGATGTGGCTCAGTGGTCGAGTGCCCCTGAGTTCAATCCATGGTATATTCCTCCCAGATATAGATCATAGGCGTATTTACAAACACAGTCATGTTATCTGCCAAAAAAAATACAATTTTTCTTCTTCCTTTCCAATCTGTGTGCCTTTCATTGTTTGTTTGTTGTTTTAATCTTGGCGTGCTGGCCAGTTCCTCCAGTGAACAAAGGCAGTGAGAGTGAATGTCCTTGTCTTAGTCCCAATCTCAGGGGAAAAGCAATCAGGCTTTACCAGAAAATATCATGGTAAGGGAAGAATTTTGGTAGATGTCCTTGGTCAAGTTGAAGGATTCCCCTTGAATTCCTACTTTTATGAGAGTTTTTCTTCCTGTCTAAAAATTATGAATGGGTATTAATTTTGTCAAAAGCTTTGTTCTGTGTTCCTTGACATGATCACCTGGTTTTTCTTTTAGTCTGCTAATGTGGTGAATTTTATTCATTGGTTTTGAATATTCAGCTTTTCTGTGTCCCTAGAATAAGACCTTTTTGATTCTGGTGTAGCATGTTTTTAATATATTGCTAGATTTTGGGTTATAATTTTGTTAAGAATTTTGACATCTGTACTCACAGGGTTGTTTGAGTCCTCTTTTCTTGCAATGTCCTTTTCTAGTTTTGGTACCAGGACTTCCCCTACTTAAGAGCAGCCTGGAGAGTAGGCAGTAAATTGGGGGCAATCATAGGGCTTTTCTCACCTTTTCCGTCTCTCGGGGCTACATTTTTTTTTTTTTTTTGCTGCCTTTTTTTTAAGGTCTGAAACCAGTTTTTTTTTTTTTTTTTTTTTTTACTGATTTCTATTTTTTCATGGCAGAAGGATAGTTCTTGTAGTAGTGAATCTTTGTGGAAGAATGCAGAAGTCCATTTCTTCCACACAATTTTAAGACTTTTAATTGTTAGAAAAGTGTCTCTTGTTTCCTTGGACTTTCTTATAACCTTCATTCACTGAGATGTCCTTTGGGGCCACCCATGTAAGTGTAATCTTTGTACCCTGTGTCAGCTCTTCAGATATTTGAATCAGCACGTCTTTCTTTTTGGGCTTTTTCTCAGCTCAACATTTTCAGTTGCTGTGGTTTGGATGGGGTCTGTCCCCTAAAGATCCATGTGCTGGAATCCCAGTGTCCAGGGTGCGGGTCATGAGAGGTGGAGTAATGTTAAGATGTGAGGCCTACTAGGAGGTAGTTATGCACTACCCTTGGAAGAGATTAATGCCCATCTCATGGGAGTGGGTTAGGTCTCACAGAACTGGGTTGGTTGCTGCAAGATCAGGTTGCTACAAAGCCTTCCACCTTCCCTTGGTCTCCTCTTATGCATGTGCTCTTCCATATGCACTACTTTGTCATGTACCTGCCTTATGTGATGCTATCTGCTTCACCAGATGTGGCTGCCAAAGCTTGAACTTTGCAGCCTCCAAAACCATGAGCCAAAATAAACTTCTTATAAATCATCTGGTCTTGGGTGTTTGGTTATAGCAACACAGAAGGAGCTAAAACACATGAGCTCTGTCTTGTTTTACTGAGCTCCCAGACACTTTATTGATCTGGGTTAGGTTCTATTATTTTCAAAGTTCCTCTTGAAAACATTGACACTTCTAAGAAAAAAATAAGAGTGGTGCTTAGAGCTGAATATAATGTTTCAGATGTCTGCAGACCAACACAGAATTATTAAACTATTCTTTCAAACCTATTACAAAATATTTTTTTAAAAAAAGCCCCTATTTAAAAATGAAAGCAGACAATAAAAAAATCTGTTTCTATACTTTTGGATTTGATTATCAATTTAGCACCTTGAAGGGCAAATGAGATGATATCATCAACTTTCGGTTTTTAAACTGTGAAGGTTTCTGTTTAAATGTTGACTAAAGGTGATGTATTTTGTAAAAGACACTTGGCCTTTAAGAAATCATTGCTGAGAGAGATGAGACTCTTCTGTTTGTTCGAGGGAGCTGGTTGTAACCCCTGCTAGTTTTGCTTAGTCCTATTATATACAGGCTTCAGCCACACAAGTCCCAAGTGGGTAAACCAATGGGGGCAACTCTGATGGACAAAGACAGTAACTCATAGTTACAGTTTCTTGTACCTTATGTGCCCTATTTGAGAGAGGGAGAGAGAGAGAGAGGGAGAGAGAGAGAGAGAGAGAGAGAGAGAGAGAGAGAGAGAGAGAGAGAGAGGGAGAAAAGGGGGGGGGGGGGGGAGGGGGAAGGACGGGGAGGGGAGGGGAAGGGGAAAGGAGGGATTAGAAACCAGCTAAGATAACCTTGGCATTTCTTTTTTATTTATTGACATGGCCTAATAAGGTAAATATGTATAGTTGAGGCATAGAAAACTAACAAACAAAATCTGGATGTGACCATTTTTAAAAAATATATTTTTAGTTGTCAATGAACTCAATACCTTTATTTAGTTTTATGTGGTACTGGGGATTAAACTCCAGTGCCTCACATGTGCTGAGCCACTGAGCCACAACCCCAGCACTGGATGTAACTTTTAATGCTTAGTTTGAGGACTATGTCCTCTGAGAAAAGGATTAATGTTAGATTAGTGGGAAGTTCCATTTTTGAGGAAATTCCTACTAGTTATCAATAGGCTTACATCTCTGTGGTTGGATCATGACTGCTTCCATGTCTGTTGGCAGAATTCAAATCCCTGTGACTGTACAGCTAATATCCCTATTTCCTTATAGGCTGACTGACCACTGAAGGCCATTTTCAGCCTTTACAGGTGGTCCACCCTCCTTGGCTTATGGGTTTCTTTCTCCAAGTTCAAAATGTGGGGTCTCTGACTCATGTGATTAGATTGGACTTGCCTGGATAATTCAGGCTAATCTCCTCGTCTCAGGCTCAGTACCTTAATTGTCAATGCACAATCCCTTTGTCACGTGAGATAACATATTATAGGTTCGAAGGTTTAGGAGGTGGAGGTGGACATTTATGTTAGGGTCAATATTCTACTTATCACAAAGCCAATGCCAGAAGTAGCCACAAAGTGAAGGTAGATATTGCCAAGGCTACAGAACTCAAATTTACAAACATCTTGTACTTACATGATGTTTGTATGTGGCATGCCTCCCTTCACAGGTATCAAGAATTCTTTTTTTTTTTTTTTTTTTTTTTTTGGCCAAACTAGCTGGCACAGGTAATTGACTGTAACTTTTTCCTACCAATATCTTTATCACTTTCTTGAGGGTAACATATGCTCAATCGCCTCTTGTTTTCTGCCTGTGTGTGTGTGTGTGTGTGTGTGGGTGTGTGTCACTAGGGAATGAACCCAAAGCACTCTACCAACTGAGCCACATCCCCAATCATCTTTATTTTGAGATTTTTGAGTCAGGGTCTCACTAAGTTGCCAAGGCTGGCCTTGAACTTGGAATCCTCCTGCCTCAGCTTCCCAAGTTGCTGGGATTACAGGCATGGGCCATTACAAGCATGCCCAGTTATGTCTTCTGCCTTTTACAAAGTGACCATTTTATGTGCACACACATAGCTTCTTTAACCCTCCTTCAATTTCTATCTTGCATACACATGCATCCTCTTTTAACTTGCTTATCTAGTGTCCTAAAATTTTCTGTGTATCACAGGGAAATATTCTTAGTCTCTTTTTCTCAATCCCTTCTTTTTTGTTTCAATTGTAAACTGATCATTTCAACGTGAAAGCAAATTTAGGAAATAGCTTACTCCCAAGATGAAGATTGCTTCTGCATATTTGGGTCATTCTAAATGGAATGAAATTGAAAGAGATTGAAAGAAAGAGAAGCTCAAAACTCTCATCTTGAAAAGTCAAAACCTGGAGATGCATGAAATGTCTGCACATCTGACCCTGTGCTCTGAATATTATACTTTCACATTTTTTTTCATAGAAATGGCTCAATTCACTCCATACTTTGATAGTTTGAGTGACTCTGCTATAAAGCTTTGTAGTAGTTTATTGATATTTGAAAATTATTCCTCAATTTCCCCCTTCTTTTTATAATTTTGTTTTTTTATGAAAGCAACTCTGTACCTGATCTTAGCTAAAAGACCCCAAAGCTATCATTATTAAGGTGTCTTCTTATTTCTTTTTTGTTTTTAAATTAGTGCATCTCAATTATATAGAATAGGGAGTTTCATTGTGTCACAATTTTACATTCATAAAAATACAATTTGATCAATTTCACTTCCCAACACCTTTTCCCCTGCCCCATGCACTCTCCCCTCCTCTCTCTCTCTCTCTCTCTCTCTGGTTCCCTCCCTCTTCTCTAATGGTCACCCTTCCACTTCAAGGCATGCCTTTCTCCCCTAATTTCTCCCTTTCAAAATACAGCAGAATGAAATTAATAACTGCCATCCATCTATTTCCTAAATGTCATCCATCTATTTTCCAAATAGATCTTAAAATGTGTACACTGAAATCTCAAATACAAAATACAAAAGCATTACTCCTCTTGTGCTTTCTATCACAAATTACGTTACCTTCATTATCAACACCAACCAAACTACTACTGAGGCAATTACGGATATAAGGTCCAATCTTATCTTACTCAGACCAGCCCAAACCACAAATAGGCATGGAATTATTATAGAGTCAGGGACCATTTTGCACTCATTAGACACAACAACAGAAGTCAGTGAGGAGGCTATTCCACGCTATGCGTTTTATAGTAGCAAAGCTATTAGAAGAACCCAAGCATCCAACAAATGGGGTTGGTCAGTAAATAAATTAGGGCATAGCTACATAATGGAATATCTTGCTACTCTTTAAAATGATGCTGTATAATGATATTTATGACACTGAAAATTGTCTTGTTACATTTGGCACAACAAAGTTAGAAAACGGGTCAGATGGTATTATATAACATGTGAAAATAATCCTTATTATATATCCCAATTATGAATAATAACATAGATTTATAAATATGAAAATCCAGAAAATGCCTAAAATGGTGTCTGCAAACCACGTTTTTCTCAGGAGTGGAATTGAGGTGGTTTTTGTTTGGGGTAGACTTGATAATAGATATGTAGCACTTTGTATTCAGTAAAAAATTAATATATTATTTGCAAGTCAATGGTGAACAACGCATCTAACTTATTTCATAGGAAGCCTAGACCTTTAGAAATGAGAAAACAAAGTCTTGTCATCTAGCAAACACTCTTGCTGGAACACGACCAAATCCATAACCTCCACTGTTTACAATTGTTTTCACCACTTCACTTTATCAAAATTATTGTCACAATAAGGTGAGTGGTAGTGAGGGAGGTAAAGCAAGTAATAGTCAGCTTTGGCTAGAAACCCAAAGTGCATGTTTATACTTCAGTTCAAAATGCTGCCTTTTCTAAAAGTTCAGGGCAACATCATCAGCCTGCAGAGTCCTATGGACCCTCCAAACCCCAAGGGAAAACCTTTTCCTCCAACAATTCACTGACTTTTTGGCCAGTCTGGGCTCAGCCAACGAGCTCCAGAGGCAGCTGATGGGGAAGTAGCCGCAAAGTGGCATCTGCAGAGATGACAAATACTCACTAATCACCTTCAGAAGAGCCGGCAGTCTGCTGGTGCTGCTGCCTCCGCCGCCGCTTCTGCTTTTTTAGACACAACACCACCACAAATATCATGCTCAAGATGATCAAGAGTCCAAAGGCAGCCAAGTATGTTTGGTCTTTACGAGCCAAGGAGTCCGTCGGAAGAACTAGAAATGACCACACATTTCAATCAGCCAGCAACTCTTTTATAAAAGGATTATATTTGCTGCTGTTTTCTTTATGTGTTTGCCAGCATTTCCCCAGGACTCAAGTGCCCAGGGAGCCAGAGGAGCCAGGAATCCACAATATGAGGCCATTGGAAGCCCCAGGCTCAGAGCCTTGGTAGCTACCTAAGAATCAAGCCAGCATCTCTGAGCTTGGTATGAGCAGCCTTCCCCTCCCCAAGGTGGGGATGACACTGACCATGATCTCAAAGGAGAGGGTCACCTGGGGCATGATACAGGGATCTGGGTAAAGTATTTGTGCTGAGGCTCTGATTGCATTCATTTAGACAGTGCTCTGCTCCCCCAGTCCATGTGCTGTCCCTTGTCATGATCCCCCTGTCCACTGGCATCTCCACATCAGGTTCTAGACTCCTCTCACCTGGAAAAAACGGAACATTCCTCACAGGCCCCCCACCTCCAGTTTACATTTGTGTGGTCATTTTTCCCACTGAGGTCACAGCAGGCTTCCTCAACATGAATTTTATGTACAAGAAAACCGCTGATATTTTTTTCATGCCTGAGAAGTCAGGGTCAAAATCAGTTCCCTGGAGGTCAGGACTTAACTTCCTTGCATAGGAACTCCTACATTTCTGGGAAGTTGAAAAATAGATTTTGTGCTAGAAAATTGAGTGGCTCACTTTTTAGGCATCTTGGGGGAACAGTTCTTGTAGTTAATCCCAAATTGCAAGAAAAAAATAGAACCAGCTGGTCTCCCGTTAGCTTTATACAATTTTTGGACACTTGCTCTGTGCCTGGTACAGTAAGGAGAGAAGTTGTTAGCATTGAGGGCCACATTTAATACCTGTTGAGTATGTCCCAGTTTATTACACTTGAACCTGGTTGGCAGTCCCAGTAGAGGAGGTTCTACTTTCAACATGGATACTGCTACCTGTTGGCATTGAAAAAGTTCCTTGGCTCAAGGTCTAACCTATCTCTGATCAACCCATAGAAGAGGGACCCAGAGAGATAAACCCTATCTTTCCAAGGCAGTTAGAACTGGACTAAAACATTTCTGAAGATGGCGGTACCTGGAAAAGTTTGGGCAGCCGTTGAGAAGCTGCAGAATTTTAAGCCACAATAAGGCCATCGTGGCAAGACCCTGCTCTTTGTAAACTGGAGCCACATGGAGGGTCCAAGGTAAGTCTTGAATGGAGAAGCTGGTAGCTATAGGAAGGTATTGAACTTCAGCCAGAACTTTGAGAGGCTTCTATCAGGCTAAGAGAGGCTGCAGTTAAAGCCACCAGGATGGGCTGGGTGACCCACCTTTTACTGGACTCTCAGAAGCTGAACTCTCTGAGTGGAAGAAATTAGTACCAGGAGAGGGACTGACACTGTTGTAAAAGTGGCTTGTGGGGACTAGCTCTAGGGGATGTTCCTGAGAGTAAGTCTGGAGGCCAATTATGTTTGAACGAGATACTAGGAGCAAGGAGACAGCAAATCCAGGGATTGGAACAAAGGGTCAGGTGGGAGTCATCAAAGGGGCCAAAGCAAAGGGCCAGAGCCAGAGAAAGGGCCAAGGCAAACAGAAGGCAGATGGATGGGAGAAGAGGTCAGGCTAAGATCAAACAGTGATGGGAACAGTGTGGGTGCAGATTGCCTTTATTCTGGGAGGGAAGTTTGCAGTTACTGTTCCTCAAAATGGGGTCTCAAATATAGATGTGTACCCTCTGAGGCAAAGCTGGGACTTTGAGACATCAGGCTCCCATTAGTGGGCACTGCTTAGTTTAAGCCCTTCCTCCGGCTGGATCAGTTCCTATAGTACATCATGAACATGCCACAAGCATTTCTGTCTTTCTTTGGTGTATCTCTTGCCCTTATGTCAGATCAGCTAATTCTTGTGGTCCTCTCACCTGCTCAGCCTAGGAACTATCTCCAAATTTTTCTAAGCAAGAAGTCACAACTAATTTGAGAGTCTGTCATCTGGAATTCCCTCCCCTCTCCTCACCACACTTGTTAAGCCCACTGATCTTTTATGGTATTATAAGGTCTCACCTCTTTGGGAAGGCCTCCCTAACCCCCAAATACCTTGCCTGTCTGTGAGTGCCCTTAAAACTGATTATTGGTTGTTTTAAATTTGGTCATATATTTCCATGTAATATAATTTAGATTCTGATTCAATCTTTTTAGAATTCTGTTTTCCATATGTACCCACTATGGAGTTCAGGTTCTATTGGAAGACCCTCAAGAACAGGGAGGACATCTCATGCCTTTTAGTTTCTATCCCATAATAAACAATGCCTAGAAGAGTTCTATATTCCTAATGAGTACTATATGTATGTACATTCTGTGTGTGTGTGTGTGTGTTTTAATCAAAGGAAGAATTCTAAGGTTAGAATTAGAGAAATTTCTGCATTTCCTGCCCAAACCTTCAAAATCCTCTATTCAAGGATAGCCCAAAAGATGGTCAGTTTCAGGGCTAAGCACCTGTTCCTTCAAGTGCACCACAGGTTCACGGACTCCTGGACTCTGCATCACTCAGATGCATCAGGAGCCCTCCACTTTGATCTTCCCTAGTACTATCATAAAATGGCCTGGTAGGAGGTTTCCTAGCAAGCTGGGAACATTGGCTGATTTGTCTCAAGCATTTGTGTATAATACCTGGTGAAAGAAATAGCCTAGGAAAGCAGCTTTACCTGTATTGAAAGGTGGAGACTTAAGCGTCCCTGAGGCCGTGCATACGAAACAGGTGATAGTGACATTGCTCGTGTCATCGGGGAACGGAACAGACAAGCTGGCAGAAACGTTGTACAGTTCTGTTTCATTATCCTGAGATATCACCATGACACCATCATGCTCAACAGTTGAGTTTTGGGTTTCTAGAACAAAATATATCCTTAAAGGTGGTGGATGACCTTGACTAGATGAGCAGGTCAAATTTATGCCAGAATCTCCTGTTATATTGGAAAGTGGCCTTATTTCAGGTTCACTGAAGTTAGCTGGAAGCAGAATAGAGATACGAAAAAATAGTCTAAATTTAGATACATAAATAAGAAAACAGTCAATAATTAAGTGCCTGATCTGGGAGCTCATTAAGGCATACCTGGGAACCCCAAGTGTCTAAAATATAGGTCTTAGCCCTTGGGGAGGACCATATAATAACCGTTTATTATGGAAGAATGCTTACTTCCTGCATATCCAAATCAAGGGCATGCTCTCTGAGAGATGGGACTGAAATGAACTCACCAAAGGTTTAAAATTAAGCTATTACTCCAGGGAGTAGAGTCTTTGGCAGGACACCTGGTCTGTTGTAGGACCCAAGTTTCCCAGGGGTACATTCCAGGTCATCAGAATAGGAGAGCAGAAAGGGATTGACATAAAGTCCCACCAGAAACTGACTTCGTGGTGTAGACATGCTCTGGGTCTCATTTAGAAACCCTAGAAGGACAGTGGTGAGTGGGTGGGGGCTTTGGATTTAGAAATTCAGAATACTGATTTTTTTGGCTCAACTGTCCATTGTCTTCATTACATACTATAGGATGAAGGCCAACTCCATCCACTTATAGGGAAAACACATGATCTAAATACAGGGTTTCTCTTGCCTTTGATTGCCATACTTGTTCTTATGGCTGGTGAGGACCACAGGCACGTGGTCCCCAGACCTGACACGTAGGTCTCTGCCTGCCAAATCTTTTACTCTTCTTCTATAGTTCCTAACTAGATTTCAAGTTCTATATACTAATTTATAATTTATTGTATTTTTCTAAAATAGCAGTCATTTACATGTCATTTTTCCAGTTTTTGCTATATCAACATACTACTTGAGTATTCTGCTTGTAGTTTATATGGTCTGTAGAGATGAATTTGCCAGACCTTATTTAGTCTAAATAGCAAATGAAATCATAGGTTAAATAAGTGATAGTTCTTCTAATACATGTTGAAATAAAAAACAAAACTGTTTTACAACTAAATCACATGCTTCTCCAGTGGTACCTGGTAACACTCTGAAAACATTGATTTAGAACTTATTTAAATGTCCTGAGATCCCTGATGTCTAGTTTGAATCACACAGGGTTGCAGGGCAGCAGCTCCCCATTCATGGTCAATTTTTGCCTCTGTTTTTATTCTGTGGTTTCAAAATAGGTGCTGATCTTCTTTTACCTGTTTCATCAAGAATTAATCTGGATTCAGTATCTACATTAGAGAAATGCGAACTTATGTTCACACAAAAACCCATAAATGCATGTTTATAACAACTCTATTCATGACAGCCCCAAACTGGAAACAACCCAATGTCTTTCAATAGGTTGAATGGATGAACAATAGAATGGGACTCAACAGTAAAAAGGAACAAATTTTTGATACCTGCAACAACTTGGATAAAACTCAAAGGTATTATGCTCAACAAGAGAAGCCAGTCTTAAAAGGTTATGTAATGTATGGCTTCATTTATGTGACACTTTCAAAATGATGAAACTACTGGATGCAAAACTAGATTTATGTACAAATGAATTTCATAAGGGAAATTGTTTAGGGTGATGGAAATGTTCTATACCATGTATATAGTGGTGATTGCAAATCTATACAGAATCTATAAATTAATAGAAGTACAGTAATGGAACAGAAAGTAATGGAACAGAAACCATTAATTTTATGGTATGACAATTTGTTAAAAATCTGTAGTGACATTTAGGTTTTTCAAGGTCTCGGGAAAGCAGCAGGTTTGTCTCTTTGTGTGTTATGTTTAATTGAGTTATTTCCCTTTCGTCTACTGGGTTTATGGTTGGTGCAGCAGATCATCCATAGCAACCTATAAAAGGTTGAGGCAAAAACCCAAATCAGTCAGCTGTTACTAGAAGTTATAGGCCAAGATTTACTGAATAGGAAAACCTGGACCAAAGGAGCAAATGAATGTAATGATTCCAGGCTGCTCTGGCTAGACACAATGACCCATGATTTTCATTTGGCCACATGACTTTTGTTCAGCAGGCTCTATTTTGTCCCCAAAGAATATTCCTTCTGAAGCAAACTATAAAAGTACGTAGGGACTTTCAGTTCCCTACTCCCAGAACCTGTGCTCCCTTTAAACGGACTTCCCAGAAATGACTGTTTTCTGCCTTCTCTTCATGATATCCCTTCCTGGGGCCAATGGAGCTCCCAACTCCAATGTTTCTCTCCTCATTTGCAGTCTTATCTGACAAGGATGAGGATCTGAACACCCATGGTCTACATACCAAACACTGACAGCTCAGAAGTCATCTGGTATAGGTGAACAATTCCTTGGGGTCCTTTGTGATGGACAATACATTGATAGGAGCCCTTGTCCTTGATCTGAACATTGTGAAGTTGCATGGTCCAATTGTCCTGGTCAAAGCTTGTGCGGCCCAGATACTTGGCAGCCACATTGTCAGGTTTTTCATTGCCTAAATATAGCTCATACAAAACCAACTTTTGCTGGTCCTGCCAAAATATTATAAGCTCCCCCAGACTTATATTTTGAGAGTTTATAAATTGGCAAGGCAAGTCTGCAGTCTCGTTGAAAGAAGCCTGACTCTTGAGGGAGGCAACATCTGGAAAAGAAGAGGTGGAGATTAGGAAAGGAAGAAGCAAGAGGGAAGAACAACCAACTCCATTTCTTTTTAAATTTTTTTTTTAGTTGTAGATGGACACAATACCTTTATTTATTTATATTTATTTGGTGCTGAGGATCAAATCCAGTGCCTCACATGTGCCAGGCAATCACTCTACCACTGAGCCACAACCCCAGTCCTCCATTTCTTTTTATATGATATCAGGTGCTATCTCATCAGCAATGATTGAAGAACTCTTTATTAAGATCTGAAACTCTGCATCCATGCTGGACACCTGGCAATTAGGACTTCTGTTCTTGCTTCACTGTTAACTGAATGCATGGCCTTGTGCAAACTGCAATCTTTATGAGTCTCAGTTTCCTCATCTCTTTAAAGAACTGGGGGTGGGGGGATTAAGTGTTAGAAGAGTCTAATTGTATGGTTCTGTGAATATGAATTCCTGAGAGTTAGACAGTTGGTTCAGTTACCTGTTAACTTCCCACAGCCTGAACATTAATTCTCATCACTGTAGCTGGAACAGGCTCCATAACTGCTATATCACCCCCAAAGCCCTCCTTTCCCCACCCTATCTCCTTGTTACTATGGTGAAAGGATTGCTGATATTGCTAGTCAGCTTGCTATCTCTCCTTTTATTAAGCTTCATTAGTTGGGAGCCACATTGAGTAACATCTTTGAAAATTCAAACAGTTCCCTTTATAGACCTCCCACCATGACCAGCTCTCCCCAGGACAGAAACAATTTGACTCATGTAGTTAGCCAAGGTATCTATGCTCAGTGACCTCTCCAAGCTCTTTCAGGGACCAGAAAGAGAACTGGGCAAAATGGGGGGTAGTTTGGGGTTTGTGATGGTCAGAGACCATTTAAGGCACATGAATGAAATGTTGGGAGTGAATGACAGGTGGGGAGGTGAGAATGTGTTTTAGGAGTACTAGGGAAATCCCAGATGACACAGACCTGTTGTTCCCAGGTTACACTTCTCCTGGAAACTCACAATCCACAGGGGATGTGCTGAGAGAGCAAGGAAAGGCTTTGGTCCCCCCAGGACATAGACATATTGGTATATGGGGAGGGATTTGTGTCACCCAGCTCCTTAAATGTGATTGATCATAGGTTTTGTAGGGTATTTCTGGGTCACAGACTTACTTGAGACTTGGCAAAGAAGTAGTGGGAGAAGGGAAATGCAGGGCAGGAGACCTGCTTAGATGATACCAGGTTAGGTGCTGCCTGGGGGAGGAAGTCAGATTGGGTTCTGAATGAAGAGTCATCGTTCAGGATTTCAGCAAAGGGACGGTGACATTAAGGCAGAAATTTTGCATTATGGCCTATTACATTACTCTCACTAGAACTTTGTGAAGGAGGGGATACCTACATGGGTACTCAGAACAGTGAAAACATGATCTAAGCAAGAGTGACTGTATTTGGTGATTACATGCAAAGCAAACCTGGATCTTGTGTGGCACCTTTGCTGAGCTCTTACTAATAATGCAACAGTGCCACCTACTGTAAAAGCTTCCAGCACTGTCTCTGGGGAATACATTCTGATTTTGGTATAATTTGCTATATGACAAAGGGCAGATGACCCAGTTGCAACTTTTAACATTGGTCAATTTTATGTTGTGCCTCAGCTATTGATTGTGCCTTCAGACTTGGGAAGGACCTCATCCATAGTTTCTTCTATCTTGATTTACAGAGATTTCTCCAACAGATCCCCACACACAGTACTTTTTTCTCCTTCTCACTTACTCTCTCCACTCACAGACTAGTCCAACTTTTCTGCTGCAATCCTTTCTCCAAAAGATTATACAGGGCTTTCTCTTCTCCCCATCAAATTGCTCCCCTCTTTGCCTATCAACCGAAAGAGTGATCTATGGACCAGGCCATTGGCATCATGTTGGGCCTGGTCAGAAGTGCAGAACCTCTGTTCCCACCAGAGAGCTCTGGGTCGGAATCTGCATCATAACAAAAACTCCCATTTGAGAAGCTGCTGTAGATGTTCTCTGTTTCCATCTCCAGAATGGATCAGAGAAGAAGACAGGGCAGATTTACTTCTATCTATTCCTCCTCAAATCCCCTCTCCACACCATAGGGGTGGAAATCACTCTAGTCCATTATGAGTGGAACTGAAAATATTTCATAGGTTCCACTCTGCAGCTCCTCACCAACCACTGGATTTCATATCACTCGGAGCTAGGCATAAGGCATCTTGCTAACCCCCTCCTGATCATATGGAGAAGATATGACTCAAGGTCTGTTTTCCCTAAGTAGCTTCAGGCGTCCACTATTAGGACCCCAGAGCATAGGTCCTCTAGCAGCTGGACCCACTGGGACTCCACTGGTGGAAAGCATTGAGAATCTCGCCCTTCTTCAGCACTTGGGTGAGAGAGATGGTCTAGCCATAACTGATTGCTGTGAGGATGTCAGGAGCTAGGGGATCAAGAACTCAGCTGGACATCTCCCTGATCAGCAATTTGTTCCCTAGGACACTTAAGGACCTTCTCAGCAATATACTGTTTGAATGACACACAAACCTCATAGTCTGCTAATGTCAGTTCCCCCATGGGGACTTCAGTCTTCCTGGCCATCAGACCAAATGTAGGTGACACATTCAAGGGTCCTCTCTATGTTTTTCTGTACTCATGAATTTCTCTTCATTTCCTAAACTTCTTCCAAAGCTTTATTAGGCCCTCTGGAAACTGCATACCACTGTAATATATTCTTCTATATCCTTAACTTCTTTAATAAACATTTTCTCCTACGTTCTGTTATTGGGATCTGGTCCTACCCAACGGAAGCCATTTGTCTCCTAACCACAGCTTGTTTTTTTTACTTCACAGGGACTTTGAGCAACAACCTCCCCATTTGGAGTTGTTCTTCTCTTATTATCGTTAGCCACTAATCATTCTCACTAGTCCCTTGCTCAGTGAGGATTTGGGCATTTCACACAAGGTCTTTCTCACCAATTCTTGCCATAAACTTGGTGCTTTCATCATGGATGTGTCCACCAACAAAGTTCTTTCACCTTGCCAACCCCATAGGTTTTCATCCCCAGACTCTTTCAGCAGCCCCCACTCCCATGATATAATCCTGAACCTCATCATCTACAGATGTCCTCCCCTTCATATACAGGAGAACAGGGAGGACCTGTCCACAACCTCCTCTTCCTCTGGGCATTACTATTGCTTTCTCCCTCTTCATCCAGACCTAAGTTTATCCAGTCTAGATCCGCTCCTGTAGCACTTTCCAAAAGAACCTTCCAAGGTGATGGAAATGTTCTTTCCGTGGCTGAACAATGCGGTAACTACCAGCCACTGCAACTTTTAAGCACTTGCTATGTTGCTAATGTGACTGAGAAACTGGATTTATTTATTTATTTTGCAGCACTGGAGAGAGAAACTGAATTTTTAACCTTACTTAATTTTAACTAATGGACATTTAAATAAGCACATATGGCTAGTGGCTATCATGTTGGACAGCACAACAATGTTTTTTCAATGATTCCTTGCCAGCAATTAATAAATGAGTCCCTTTGTCTCTGTAAAATTCATCCTGAGGATACTCTACTTTCAGTCTACCTATCTGTTCTCACAATCAAGTGGTTGAGCCCTCCTGAAGGAAATGATTTCATTGTACCGACTGCTGACATTGCAAATCTGTGGAGTCCAGACTCATTAGAATGACCCCCAGGCTCACCACCCTGCCCACTGGCCTGTTCCTTCTTACAGCAGTTACTTCAAACACTTCCTCCCTGCTCCTGTTTTTAGTTTCTTTTTGCCTTATAGTCAAACTCTGTGAAAAAGTGAACAGAAATATTTGCCTTTACTCCCCACATCTCTACTGAAACTTTCCCAACAAAGGTGCCAGTGACTTCCCATCAGTGCCAAGCCCAGTACTCTTTTCTGACCTCAGTCCATTTGATGACACTGCTGAATGTTTAACACTGTTGGGGGCATTTCTCCTTGAAACTCTGTCTTCTTCCCCAATCTCCAACTTCCTGGTTCAAATGCCTGTTGGATTTCTCACTTTTTCTCCTCTCTTTCCATGGATTCAAGTGCCAAGTGTAAATTAATAATTCATAGATGTTTATCTCCAGCCCATGACTGTTGCTAGAGTTCCAGTTGCCTATCTCCAGCTGCCTGTTGGATACCTTCTTTTAGATTACAACAGATATTCTTCCTCCCTTCAAATCTTCTTCTCCTTCACCTCAACGCATGGTTTCCTCACCCACTGATGTCCATAATTATCTGAAGAATGTGTAGAAAATACCCAAGAGAAGGTCTGCACAGGTGTGGCTGAGAAGATGTAGAAGTACTACAGCCTGAGCTGAACTTTAATATGCTATGGGAAGGGTGGTAGCTCTGTATGAAGCAAAGAGAAGGAACTATCAGAGGTATAGGATTATGTGTTCATATGGGGACCTTGGGGACATTATCTTTTAAGTGTCTCTCTAAGACATTCTCTGTTATAGGCCAGGAATGGTTTTCCAGGCATTTTCATGACCCAGATAGTATTTCTGGCAAGAAGAGTCTTGCTTTGATTTCATGCTCACCAACATTCAATTACATAGACAAAAACATTAAATGCTTAATTATGTAGAGTTATATATCATCATATAGAATATTTATATTTATTTTATAAAATACATACATATGCCATGTTACATGAAATATTATTTACTAAGTATATGAAGTACAATATAACATGTAAAACACATCACTGAATGATGAAAAACCCAGTTCCTTGGAAGCACATGCCATCAGACAGTACCACCCACTGTCTCTCATTTCTATTGTTACTCATCTTTCTTTCATGTGGCCCTTAATTTATTGAAGGACCTGACTTGTTCTTGCCAATTGCTTCCTAACTGATCTCCCTGTTTCCATCTTTGCCCTAAGTCTAGCTTCTCAAGCCAAGATAACCCTTTAAAAACTTATTTCTGGCTGGGTGTGGTGGCATATGCCTGTAAATCCCAGATACTCAGG